TCGGTCCCGGCTGTTCACCTCTGTACACTGCGTTCGACTATCATGTCGTGAGCGGCCACGAATGCAGGAGTAAGATAAGTTGAGGTTCGTCTCATCAATCCACACCGGTTGTCTTCCTTCCACGTCGTAATCCATTAGCCGCAAAAAATGATCTGCGGCGCCTTTTGTTCTCCAGCGTGTTTATGGACTCCGGAATGGTGTGCAGTCTCTTCATTGTTATCAGTCTACCATCCAAGCGTCGTGAGACGGTGCTGGTATCTACTGATTTTTTGAAATCCGCCTTCAACCGCAAACAAAGGAGTTCAGGGGTAACGGCAGGCTCTGCAGAAACCCACTCCACCAGTGAGTCTACGTGGCTTTCTCCCAGTACTTTGCGACGAACTCCCCAGTGCAGCCCCACTGGTTCCGTCCATTCGTACACCCGTATCCAGTTGCGGCAAGTTTTTACGCTCAGCTTTAGTGTGCAAGCGATCTGCTTCCAATCGTCTGCTTCCTCGTACACTTTCAGTATGACGTTTTTCACCTCCATCGATTGTTGAATCTGCAAGTCAATCATTGCTTTTAGGTGAATCACATGTTCATAATCAGACGGCAAACTTATTTAGTTGTGGCTCTTTATAGCAACCCAATCGTCGTTCAAATACCTACTCTCGTTCTAATTGGTGGGAAGCGCTTCCTTAGACAGAAACGCAAGCCCAAATGGTGCATCGGCCACCGACACTGTACCTGGTAGAAGCTGAAGCGTCCCACCTGCCCCCTGTGATTTAGTGCGTCTGAGGTTCTATTGGCTGAAGGCGCCGGGCTATCCACGCACACCTACATACCTGCGCAAGTGAGCGGCGCACGCACGGCTCAAAGTAACTGAGTAGAGACTTAACTTGTATGCCCCTTAGAGCGATTCCTTTGCCGTTCAGATTAAGTCGGTTGACCAAGGGGACAACTTGGTCGAGAAATGGTCTAGTTTGTTTACTCCGTTGGTGTCTGATTATAACAAGGTGGCTCTGACTCCGTACGGTGATACCTCACATATCAGCGTCATGTACTTTTCGGGGGGCAAATTGTGCTAAAACCGATGGACTGGTCAGTGCACTTTTAGCTTGTCGAAAAACCCATTCCTCCGACTCAGACAACCCCAGCTGTCGGCAAACATTAGGAAGTTTGAAGTGATCCCCTGTGCAAGGTCATTACTAAACACCAAAAACAAACGTGAACCTGGAACCGAGCCTTGCGGCACACCACACTCGACTTGTATGGGGTCCGATAAAGATCTCCGAACTCTGACCACTAATTGCCGTTGAAGTAGAAAGCTGGTGATCCAGCTTAAAAGTGTGTCTCCGATCCCGTAATGCTGCAGCTTGGATAGTAGTATCCGATGGTCTAGACGATCGAAAGCCTTGGAAAAATCCAGGTAGATCACATCAACACCTTCTCCAGCGTCGGCTACCTCGGTCCAACTACTGCGTGCAATTAGTAAATTATTTGTACATGACCGCTGTCGGCGGAAACCGTGCTGTTTAGGAGTGATGAGGTTGCAGTTTTCTAGATAGCACACCGGTGCATCGGCAACTATGGATTCCATAAACTTGGAGAGTATAGGAAGAAGGGTTACTGGGCGCTAGTTGGAGGGATCAGTTCTGCTTCCACCTTTGTGAATCGGGGTTATTATTCCAAGCTGCCACATAGCGGGAACTTGATTATGGACTAAGCAGCACTGAAAAAACTGAGCTAAAGGTTCTACCAGTTGGCTTGCTGTTGCTTTCAGTGCCGCTGGACGAATGATGTCGACACCCGACAAGTTGTGTTTGCGTAGAAGAGTCAGCTTTTGCAATACAACTTCCGCAGTAAAAGTAATGGGGGTTAGTCCTGGCAAGGAGAAGACAAAGCTTGGTAGATCGCGTGATGGCAGGACCCTTCGAAACGTGGGGGCGTATTGCATCTGCAGCGCGTTTGCAGCTTCCATAGCCGTTATTGTTGGGCCATCAGCCGTCTTGAGTGGAGGAAATCCTTGCCTCACCTTCAGCAGGCCATTAACATGCTTGTACAGCAGTTTATGGTTAACACTGAAGGTTTTTGCGATGTTCTGCTGATAGGCGGCTTTGTCTTCTCTTAACAGTTGAATGCAGTGGTTACGTTGGGCTACGTAGTTGTCCCAAGTTTCTAGTGCTGGAGCTTCTCTGTACACCCGCCATGCTGCGTTGCGTACTGTCATCCATTTTTGAGTTCTGCTCCCAACGGAAGTAACTGATCTACACTTATTGCAAACTCTTAGGTCTGAAGTCTTTGCAATCCGCTGACTGGATTTGTTAGCGAATTCGAACTAGGCGAGTTCCGTGGGTTCTTCATCATGGAACGACCATGTTGTGGCACTGACGACCTGGCCTAATCCATCGTAGCTTTTGATGATTCGCACAGTCTCATCGTTCTCATTCCGTTATTGCGCATAGCAGACGAAGTTAAAACTGATGACGGCGTGATCACTGCGATCCAACGAGCAGTCTAAAACCAACACTTCAGTCATATGCTTCTCGTTGTTAAACACAAGATCTGTACAAATGACCTGTTACCTGTTCTGAACTTAATGGGCAAAGTGATGTGATCACAAAGAGGAAAAGTGATGACGAAATCTTGTAGATTGGCTTGGAATTCTTCCATGATCGCGGCAGCAGTTTCTATAATAATATACGTTGAAATCACCCATGAGAAGTATGTAAGCATATTCGTTGTAAACTACATCTTAAAGCAGCCGCTAGGTGGCAGTCGGTTTCAGGATTAGTTAGGAGGGCGGGACACAAAGACACTAAGGAAAGTGACCCTACCTTTTAACTGCAAGCGACACCAATGTGAGTCTAGGAACTGCGAATCTGATTCCACCGCGGCTTCGCACTGTATGTCCCTTCGGTAATACAGGATTATCCCTTCTGCTTTGATGAGTCTGTCGTTCCGGATCAGCTACATGCCCGGTAGCGAAACTTCAACGTCCGTCATTCTCATGTGCAGCCATATCTCGGTCATATCAATGATTTCGTATGACGCAGAAGGTTGGCAGTGTTTCAGTTCGGCCAGTCTATTAAAAAGACCCTGAGCATTGGGATACAAGCAAGCCAGAGTATCTCCGTCTCTAGTAGCCCACAGATGAGTGAAGATATCAAGTGTGTGAGAATGCCGACCGAGGAGCTGTCGGCAGTTACTCGATTTTTGATGGGAAAACCATGCCTCGTTTGCAACTTGATTCTGCTAAGGTGTGTCCCAATCTTCGTTTAGACCTACGTCAGAATCAATTAAAGCAGCAGTCAATTTACGCCTCTGTGCATTCGTCAGTATGCTTGCTGCTTCAAATGCTTTAGTATTTGAGCTGTGCACAGCTTCTGGGACCTTTAACGGAAGTTCAGATTAAAGATGTTTCCGACTTCTCCGCGCTCGATCCAAAACATCCGTTGCTTGTTGCTCTGATTGAACCGCAAGTTTCAGGATTCTAATACCGCATCCTCTATAATTTGAACAATGAACAATGAACAATGATATATTACAGGTAAAAAAGCGATCGCTTTCCAAGTCCCGTAGGATGGTTGAAGTGAAAGTAAACCTAAGTGTAAATCGTCAATTTAAGCGTCTAGTGAATTCAAGTGCCCCTTATTCATAGAAAGATTGTGAAATGTGTACTGAATTGTTACTGTAGAGTAGTATGGGAAGTAATATGGGTAAGGCATGTCTTAAGCACAAGAGAAATGACCAACGCTTACTCATGCGCCGCTTTCTCGGACTGGGGTAAACTGATGAATGCAGTTGTAATATTTTCGAAACTATATTCCACAACAGCAGTGTGTAAATAGTGAAGCACAAAAGCTGAGAATGAGCACCGTTTGATCGCGTTTGTTTGACGTAAACATCTCTGATTATATAGCGTAATGTAGGTGGATAAGCGAATCATCCAGACGTCTTTTGAATACCGTTAGCGTGGGGGACGGAACAACATATGTGGGAAGAGCGTTCCGGTGTTGGCGCACACGAAGGGAAAAGAAATTCCGGCGGCATTCCAACCGGCTGTATTGCGTGGCCAGCTTTAGATGGTGTCCTCTGAGTGTTGTATTGCTATTCAGATTTAGTAGGTGACAACAACAATGATTTGGATTCCTCAAAATCATATAAGTCATTATCAAGTCGCCACGCAGGCGTCAATATTGTCCACTGTAGACCCCGAGGGTTTTCAGCCTCAATCGGTAAGGGAGATGAAACAGGCCCTTCACGTTCTTGGTCCCCCTTCGTTGTGGCAGTTCAAGAGCGGTAAGGTCTTGCTTTTGCCATGGCTGCCAGGCGTGGATGCCGTACTCAGAATGAGGCCGAATGTAGCCGTTGAGCATCTGAGAAATGATGGAAGGATCAAAGCGCCCAAATGCCCTCCGCAAAAGC